AGACAGATAGATAGATAGATAGATAGATAGATAGATAGATAGATAGATAGATAGATAGATAGATAGATAGATAGATAGATAGATAGATATGTGTGAATGTAACACATTAAAACTATTTGTAACCACTTAACAATATACACTGCAGAGCATTTCAGAGTAAAATGGTTATCTGATATTGTTCTATAGATATTTCAGCTGGGTTTAGTTTACCCAAGCGTGCAGTGCGGTTAAACATCAAACTGGCTAATCTGTGAGCGGCAGAAGAACTGCGCCCAGCTCTGAGCCGTGAAGAATGCTGGGAGAGCAAAGCACCCAAACACACTCTCTCAACTTGAAAGACTGCATGACCACACACACAGTCCTGAAGCAGGAAACACAAGTGACATGTCAACAAAAGCCCCACTCTGTTCTGTGTCTCTAGTTTGTCTCATCTTTCCTACCAAATGGAAGGCCATTGTTTTTAAGTTGTTTTTCAGACTCAGTCAAAGAGTGCGCGCTGACCCGCAGAGAGAGAGAGTTCAGCATTTGATCCTGCACAACACACCTTATCTCATGTTCACATCAAATCTCAGTGTTATGATGTCAAACTCAAGAACTTTGTTCTCTCACACACACAAACACAAGACGACCAACCCAACGAAAGTGCGGCTGTCAAAGCACACTTAAAGGAACAGCTCACCCAGAAAGGAACGTTTTGTCATCAAATGTTGTGAAAGAAGGAAATTGAGCAACATTGCTTCATCTTCTCTCAAACCCACATGCAAATGAACATTTTAACTTATTACATATATATGAAAATACTCATATTTAATGTAAATATAACAATATAATAATTAGCAAAAATGTGAATATGTAAAAATGTATTTATTTAAAATTATTTATTGATAGCAAATAAAAAATGTATCTATTTTATGACATGCATCTATATATGAAAATACCGATATTTAATGTATTAATATATTCTATCTACTGTATATAGACAGGCAGATAGATAGATGCAATATAATAATATAATAATTAGTAATTAAATAATTTGATAATTATTTAATGATAGCAAATAAGCAAATGTGTCTTATGTATGAAATGCATCTATTTACTCACATTTTAACTTATTAATAATAATAATTGTTATTATTATTATTATTATTAATATTATTATTATTATATCTAAAACAGTTATTTAGCATTATCTATCAGCAGATTCTGAACCAATATTTCACAAATAAAATGATATGAAAATATGTCTCTTGTAATATTTACTCATATTTTATTTAATTAAAATTACATTTATTATTTATTAAATGTACTTGTTTTTGTTTATTTAGCTATACGTAGCATTATCTATCAGCAGATTCTGAACCAAAAACTTTGCTAAACATCTCATTTGCATCTCTTATCCTTCCACAGAAGAAAGAAAGTCCTACACGTTTGGAAAGACAAACGAGGACGACAGAATGATCATTTTCAGTACATTATTCTCTTTTAACACTGTAAAACTGACACATTTCCATCAAGTATCATTTGGCCGGTGATTTTTAGCCACATTAGCTTGCAGCACAATAATTACAGGTACGATCTATCTGCAGCGACCCAGTTTTCTGTGTCCTCCTCACAACTGAGCGATGCTGATGAAAGCATTCTTCCAGTAACTGTGTAAATTGCAGGTTCTGAACTTTAACCACTATAGCGCAGATCTTTAACCACAAGGCCTCTATCATCACACCCCTCTGTCTCCGACTCTCTGTGTGTGCTTTCTCTGAATGAATTACAAAGGATAACATTAGCCCTTCTTCACGGATTGACAGCTGTCCTTTCTTCAAACAAAAGGACGTCCCTCCATTTCTTCTGGATGTGAAAGCGCAGGGCGACAGGAGAGGCAGACAGATGGATGTTGATAAGTTGAAAGGCTGCTGGGAGGCGCAGAACAAGTGTGGCCCGTTCCAGGTGAGCAGAGTGGTCGCATGTGCTAACCTCAGCGAAAGAGAGACACCGTTTCCTCCCTAAATCACTGTCACTTCTTTCATGACCTCTAATTATCCGTCCATTAGCGGGAGATACCTATCTGTGCCTTCCCCCTCTCATCATTCGCTCCTCGTATGGAGAGTTGACGAGGTTAGCTCTCTTATCTGAGGCACAGCAGCCCGGTACTGCTTCCTAAATGAGATTAATCAGAACAGAACACGCTCATAGCTGCTTAAACAATGATTGCAATGATATCGATAGTCGCACAAAACGCTTCTGATATCTGCGGAAGTCCATATCTGCCACAGATTAAAAAACAAGAAAGATAATTCTGAAATTTGAGTTTATATCTTTTTGTTGTTGAAAGTTTATAACTTGGAATTGCAAGATATGAACTTGCAGGTCTGAGAAGAAACGTCTAAATTGAAGGGCAAAAGTCGCAATTACTTTTTTACATTTTTGAATTTTCTGAAAAAAATGCAGAATTGTGAGATGTAAACTCAGAAGTTCGAAATGTAAACTCGGAATTGAAAGAAAGTCAGAATTCCGAGTTTATATCTCACAAGAATTGTGAGTTTATATTTCATAATTCAAACTTTTTTCTCGCAATTCAGAGAAAAAACGGTAAGAGGTCAAATCAGAACTGCAAGATATAAACTCGCAATTCTGAAAAGAACAGTCATAATTGAAAGAAAAAAGGCAATTCATTTTTTTTACATTTTTCCTAAATTGAAAGTCAGAATTCTGAGTTTCATATCTCATAATTCTGACTGT